AACAACACATATAGTGGGCCTATACAGACTACCTAAATATTGAAATTAACATGAACAATGCTGTAGAAGTGCAGTTTATTAATAGTAAATGTTAACTAATCTAATAAAGTGTTACCGATTTTTTTTTTATACACCGATTCAGAGGTCTCGTGAGTTCAGTGTTGAGTTAAAGTGAATGGTTAAAATGAGTCATTCGTTTGCGTATTGGACGTCTAGCCACGCCACACGTTGTGTGATTATCTCGGCAGTTTAGGACATCGCACAAGATTTGCGTCAATACAGAAAACATTTAATCACTGGATAGGTTTTTTCGTTTATTGAAATGTGGTTTATGTCAGCTGGATGGGCGGAACGTGGGAGACGTGAGAGTGCGTGCGCGCGGCCGGGGCTCTCTCTCTGCGTCAAGCGCAGCAGTCATTCTATTCTACATCACTCACCGATCAAAAGGGTGGCGTCGGGCCGCGGGCCGGGTTCGGGCAGATAATTCATGTTGATTTGTCGGGTTACATCGGGTCCGGGCTTTAAAAGCCACGGGCCGGGTCGGGTTGTAATTTTCAGGCCCGTTGAGACTCTATTATTAATGTGGTAATATTCCCTACAGTTTAAAAGTTTAGGGATGGTAGGATTTAAAAAAAAAATGTTTTCTAAATAAGTCTCTTATACTCACCAAGGCTGCATTTATTTGATTGAAAATAAAGTAAAAACAGTAATGTGAAATTAGAATAAATTTTTTTTTTCATTTTAATATATTTTAAATGTAAGTCTTCATTCTCACATGATCATTCAGAAATAATTCTAATATGCTTAAGTTGGTGCAAAATGAAAAATTTCTGATTATCAATCTTGAAATCACCTGCTTAATATTTTTGTGGAAACCGTGACCCCCCCCCCCCCCCCCCCATTCTTTGATTAGGAGGTTCAGCAAAGAGACTGCATTTATTTGAAATATTAATCTTTTTTTAACATTATAAATGTTTTCACTGTCACTTTTGATCAATTTAATGCATCCTTGAGTAAAATAATTATTTTTTCTTCTTTTTTAAAAAATCTAAAAAACTAACCACAAACTCTTGAATGGTAGTGTATATATTTTTTATTTTTTTTATAAAATACTGCTGACAAAACTTGTAATGTGTGTTTCTTTAACTCAGTTGTATTTGTTTGTTTGAAAACAAACTGCTCATAAAGAGTCCTTTGTTCAGTAATCTGACTACACTGATTGCTGATTGTTTTGATGTGGAATATGAGCCAGTTCTAACTTCCCCATTAGTGCACATAAGTTTTAAATTTAGATTTATAAAAAGTAAAAGATACTTATGACTCCACGAGTGCCCACCAAACTGCATGGACAGTTTTGAGATATGGGAAGATTTTTGTTTACTCTGACATGCATGCATGTCCTGATATATGTTTTATTCCCATAATGGCCTAATCTGGCTCTACCTGCTGTGTTGTAGTCTTAATGTAAAAAAAACCTACACACAGTCTTTTCCATACGATCAGCAAATTTTGAGGGAACATCAGCATTTTGCATAATTTATTTGTTTTTGTTTGCATGTTTCTCTTCACTTCCCAAACAACCCTAATGTATGCTTGCATACAGTACAGCGTGTGTGTGTGTGTGTGTGTGTGTGTGAGAGAGTCTTTGCTTACGTGACCACGTGCAGCCACATTATGTCAGAGCCAGGCTGCGTGCTCTAGGCCGTGGGGCTCAACGCAGCGGGAGACACTGCTGTTTAATTTCAGCACTTCATCCCCCTCCGTAATGAAGCTTCCCTCACGCACGTTTGCTCACACCCTGCCAGTGCTGCTGGCGGGTAATTGGGATGTGACTGAGCATGAATATCCCTTACGCCTGCCGCAGACCGACCTCCCCGCGACCCTGCAGATAGCTCTTTGTCTTAATGGACATATCATCTTTTATTTAGATCTCCATTTGAAAGTAATTGTCAGCAGGAGGGGGTTATTGCAGTAGATGGAGACGAATAGACTGGTGTTTCACAGCGGACCTCTTTGATTGGCTGCAGTTTTTGGCTGGCTTTGATTATGAGAGTCGGAACAAAGGTGTGTGCTGTGCCAAGCTGTTTTTAGAGGCCCGCCCCGACCCGGTCCTTCCTAATCATTGGTGCTCTTCTGTCTCCAAAACAATCAAAGATGTATGCATGTACCATTTGAATCACAATACTGGCATGTATATGTTTAGATGTGTGTTTTACAACCCCCCCCCCCCCCCCCTCCTCCAAAGTTTACTGTCAAGTAACTGCACCTGGTGGAAAAACACTCACCAGGTGCAGTTAAAATGCAACGCAGTGTGTCATGTGCAAGTGTTGGGTCTGTAAACAGTAGCAGCAGGAATGATGGGAGATGACCTCAGGAAATGTTAGATTCTGCAGGGGTGATCAGAAAGGGTGGTGCATTTGCTTCTTGAGTTATCACGATTTGTGCATTTCGAACATCAGAGATATTCTTTTTTATTTTTTTATTTTAAAGGTAACATGGTCAAAAGTGACCTTACTTAATGCACATTCATGGTCTTTTAATGCTCGTTTGTAAAAAAAAATATTTACCACCCTTGGACTTTCATGTTTGTTGTTTTGCAGTGTTAGACTTACATTCACCCAAAAATGAAATATCATTATAAATTAATAATTTAGATATAATTTCATTGAATAAAAGTGAAAATTATATATCTTAATATATAATTATGAATGTAATATAATGAAAAGTCATAATTAACTTGTGTCATTCCAAACTCATTAGACTTTTGTTCATATACAGTAAAACCATTGTGTCTCTTCAGAAGACTTGGATTAAACTGCTCGATTTATATGGATTAAGTTTATGAACTTTTTGAAATGTCAATAATATAATGGAGGGACAGAAATCTCTCAGATTTCATGTTCTAAAGATAAATGAAAGTCCTATGGGTTTTGATTGCTATAAGAGATTAATTGACGACAATTTTTTTCTTTTTGGTGAACTATTTTAATTAGGCTTTGATCCAAAATAATGACAATTATAATATCCAGAAGTATTCACCCCTTTTCAAACATTACTAGTGCGGCCAATTGGTTTTAAACACATCAATAGTGAAATGGAGATAACTTGTGTGCAGTCAAGGGCTTTTGATTGATTTTAGTATAAATACGCCATCTGGAAGGTTCAATTTGGCAAGTCAATATTGTGGCAGAACTTACACCATGAACATGAACGCTCCAAACAACTCCATGAAAAAGTAATTAAAAGGCACAAAGCAGAGGATGAATACAAGAAGATTTCCAGGTCATTGAATACCTCTTGGAGTAAATCCCTAATTAAGAAATAGGAAGTGTAGTGCAGCTGCAAATCAAAAGTTTTGATTGACAGATTGACCAGAATTATGGGTTGTAAACACGGTTTAATGTTGATTTCAAAGAACCTGGGGTGCCCACTGCATCATTTGCCCCATCAACAATTTAGGCTGTTTACGTCTTTTAAGTCTTACATTAAACCGACAGTACATAACTACTTCCACACTTTAAACAGAGGTGTATTGCTCCACAGACAGACACAACTCTTTGTTTGGAGTGATTAATTTCTCATGTTTACAGGTCATCTCTCAGGCAGAGCATCTCATTCACAAGGGGCCCTATCAACAGACATTGCAAGGTTGCAATAAAAGCAGCAAACGTAGCACCGTGTACTCTAATAAATCTTCGGAGGTTAAACCTCACAGCACTAAAAACCTAGAAAGACCTTTTCATCATCCCCATAAAAGTGGCAATGTCACAGTGTTTGTGGTGAGCCACCGTCCAGGATGCTGGAATCAGTGCTCCCCTGTAATCTAGTTTAACACAGCCTACAGACAGACATCCTGTGTCTCATTTCATTATTCCATCAGTTTTGTGAAGGTTTTGCTCCATCAGACTTGATCACTTTATATTCAGAGGCTGTTATAAGACCAGAATTCAATGCAATCTGAATAGCGCCAGCCCTTTCAGTGCCGAAAAAATGACTAGGTCTGCAAATATGTATGGATGGATTCTATGTTGGCGGCCATGCTGGCATCAGCCGATAAATTTAGTGTTATCCATATCCATTTATATTTAAGATAAATTATAGCTGAATTTCTAGTTGACTTGGCTGTTGTTCAATACAAATAATTTCAAATGTTTAATTTTTTTAAATGCAATGCACTTTTTTTGGTTTATTTTGAAAGTCATAATTTCCCATTTAGCTTATATAAAAGAAAGTTCTCCATAAGAATGTATTATTTATTTAAACTCTAGGCCTATACTGTATTTTTACTGTATTTTTTTCTAATTAGTCTAAATGTAATTAATATATAATAGTCAAAATATAAATATTATTTTATTTTCTTAATTGCTTGTCCGTGTACATACTTTATGTATTTGTTAGAAGTATTTTTCCATTTGCATCACATCTCTACATTTTTTTAGCATCTAGCACCATGAGCGCAACATTAAAATACATTGTGTCAAGTTCAAATTATTAATACTAAAACATGGTAAAAAATAAAACAATATTGATAGAAAATGTTAAAATAAGGCTTAAATGTTTTGAATTTGAAGCTGTTGTAGTCACACAATTGAGTTTTCATCATTGATCATTACTGTCACTTTTCTAACAAACGCTACATTATATCGAAATGCCTAAAGAATGACTCACTCATTGTTCCCTTACTTTACCACTTTTTTACCCTGAATTTGAGAAAATGTATTTGTTTTTTCTCCTTATCAGTTTGCTATTGCTTCCTGTTTTCACTAGTTATTCTCTTGCAGAGTTGCACGCACAGGGGCCTCTCTACCACGGTCCATTTTGCCTTTCCAGGAATTGTCAATATATAGACAACTTCCTAGTTCCTGGATATTTGATTTCCAGTCTTTTTTTTTTTTTTTACTCTCAGATATGGAAGCTGTGTTTACGTGTTATAATAATCGCTTTTCCTCCCCTCTCTTTCCTTTTTGCTCCCCACCCGCTCTATCTGTCCTTCCTCTCAGTGGATGATCCAGGAGCCGCACAAAGTTGGCACCTTCTTTGGCTGCATCGGGAAGGATAAGTTTGGGAAGATCTTGAAGGAGAAGGCAGAGGAGGCCAATGTGGATGCCCACTATTACGAGCAGAGCGAGGAGCCCACAGGGACCTGCGCTGCCTGCATCACTGGCGACAACAGGTCAGCCACCCCTTTCCTCTTGGGAGGGCCCTTATCGCTTCCTCAGGATAGCACCCCCCTGCACACACACAGTGCACATTCACACACCCCACCTCACTATGCACTGGGACTCACTGTTCCCTCGCCGGCTGTTCTGCTCTTTTCCGCCAGAGCTCTTGATTTATTTATTTGCCGGGGTTAGATCAGCACAGAGGTATTTTGATACACCGCATGACTTGGCCCTGAAGGGTGCTAGATTCCATGACTGAGCAGATATGTGAAACTGCTCTGGCCAAATTATGTGCTACCTACATGTTTGAGCATTTGATGGGTTTAAGTGTTATTTACTATTTCTCTGCTTGCGAAGAGAATGCGATTTGTAACCATTTAAGCTTATTGACTTATCATTGTATAAATCTGTAATTTGTATAAACTCTGGGGACTCCCCATGTAATCTTAAAGGAAAATGTATTAACAAAAAATCAAATTCTGATGCCATTGATAGTAGGAGTGGGAGCTTAATAATAATGAGTTTAATTATTCTGAATATTTCTCAATGATTCTGGTTCCTTAATGATTTTATTAATTATTCTTTTAGCTCTTGGTAAGAAATATTTAGTAAAAAAACAACAAAAAAACTTGCTCAGAAGTTTGATATTATTTTGAATTTCAACAGAATTTATATATAATGTATTATTTATTTCTGATATGTCACATCTGTTCTATGTTATGTAATTAGCTTTTTTATTAAATGTATTAATTTGATTTAATTATTAATTTGAATTAAATGTTTATATTAGTCTATGTTTTACTTGTATTTATTAGTCCGACATCACAAAATGAAAATGAATACATTTCCGTTCCGTTAGTGAGTCTAGTAGTAACTGAGATTTATTCAGTAACCACTCTAAAAAGATTCTCTAAAATTAACTGGCTCATAAGAGTAATTTGTTCAAGAATCAATATGTTTTGTGCTGTATATTCACAAATGTGCTGCTTAGTAGTAGTGCAGGAAACACTGTATTTTGGAGCTTGAGAGACGTGGTCACTATAAACTGTTTTTGTATTCTTAGGAGTTACACTGAAAAACTTGTATACTTTACTTATGAAATAATCATTCCTGGGAGGACTATTCCTTTAATAATAATAAAAAAAAAATGCATGCATTTGCAGGGGGACCGGTCAGTGACATCAACTGAATAATAGATGCACCTCTGAGGCAGTCGTGATCGTTCAGGTGGTGATCTGCATTTGTTTTGCATGTTGTCAGCCATGCTATTGCTTTTTAATCAGAGCTGCTAACAAAACTATTGCAAGTGTGTGTGTACATGAGCAACCGCTCACAGGTCACAGGTGTCCCTTCTGAGGCGAGCTGACAAAAGATCGGGACTTTAGATCATTCTGGTTGCTTTATTGTACATTTTTCTTGCTGTAAAAGGGTTGATGTTAAGAGAGTTTTGATAAAAGCAAATGCTAACAGATGGCTTTCTCCAGGTATCATTGACCACCTTGGAGTACATATACTTTTGGTCATGTTACGTATGTTTAAAAGGACCCATGTAGCCCGGGAATATATGAAAGTCGAGAAGGAGATTTATGGGGAATGGTCTCATTGTTTAGACTGTCATAGATAGTGTGAGAGGGCTATGTATTAGAGACAGTTTGAAAAAGCATTGGCTTGTAGAGCTGTCAGCCTTGGCCTTATGAGGCTCTTCTCATTAGCACCTCACCTGTCAAAGCAAACCCTTTCATTACAGGAGATTCACAGACCTGCAGCTCAGGGCCTGAAAGCGGCTTGATCAATATCTTCCTCAATACTTTCTCCCTGCAGCTATGCAGCGCACCTGTACACTGCCGCCAGTGAGACAGGCCAGACGGGAAACGGTGTTAAAAGACTGTCTTGGGAGGGGGGATGGAGAGGTCCCGGGTCTACAGCCTGCAGCGAGAGGGTCTGCCCTTCCTCTCAGCACTGCTTCTCTCTGTGAGCGGTAATGATAGCGTGGAGGAGAGTCCGACACAATCTGCCTGGTCAGATCAGCGTGACTCTGCCACTCTAAATGCTTATTATGCCTTAATGGATTTGATTTTGATTAACACGATGACATCAAGCAGAAGGGTGTCAGATCTGCATCTTGCATGTTCCACTGTGAAAATTACAATCAGTTGCTTTTTTTGTCAAGGGGATCAACCCGAACCACCTTTGTAACCATGACTTGTGCAGGGGTGGAAAATACAGCGTCTCTTGGACATTGCGACAACACACTACTAAAGCAACTAGCCTCGTCCCCCTTTTATTTTTTTGTTTATGCCTTAGGCTGGAATTATTTAAATGAGGGGATTTGTGACTTGCACATTCCCAGAAGAAAACTGAAGACTCCAATCGAGGCGTTCAGAAACCGTGCTTACACAGTGGAGTAACTCCTTTTGGAGTGGACTTTGTGCTTTGTAACTTTGCAGACCTTTTTCATGCTCAAATAGCAACATTAGCAAGTTGTAAAATGTAAAAAGAGCATAATAGGACCCCTTTAAAATAATGTAGGTTTTTTTTATATTGCCATTTATCGGCCCCATGAAAATAATCATTACATGAAAATATGAAGCATGAAAATAATTATTAGCTTACCGTACTGGCCTGAAATTTAATATTGGTGCATCTCAAATACATAGTGAATATATAAATTTCAAGTTTGATATTGTGCATGCTTGTTAAAAGGGGTTCAAAAGAATATAAATGTAAATCAAATGTAACATATATTTATATATATATAATATCTATTTATATTTTTATATATATATTTATATATATATATATATATATATATGTGTGTGTGTGTGTGTGTACTGTACATATTTATGGTTACTTGATTTACATTTATATTCTCTTGAACCCTTTTTAACAAGCATGCACCAGTTCATAAAGCATGCACTCTGCCATTTCTATCAATGCTCTTCACTTTTCCTCCAAAAGCCATAACCGCAGGTCTATTGATTCTCATTTGTGGCCTGACTGTGCATAGCAGTGCTTCTTCTGTAAGGCTAATGCTGGTTCATTGTAGCGGCTGGCCTGTTGGGACCGCATCCTCTCAGTAACAAGTGAATAATGAGAGTGGTTGTTTTTCAAAGTGGAATTAGTTGTTTTTGTTGATACGAGGACCACCGGGAGGTTAATGGAGAAACAGCAGTCCCGGTGGACGTTTGCAGTTCTCCTGCATTATTGATTTGTTTGTTCATTTATTTATGGGAAAGGTCTTGTAAGGCATTTGCACTTAAATAAAAAGAAGAGAAATAAAGAAAAAAGTGTGTTGATATTTAATTCTGGCAGAGCTGACACAAAGCAGCTGTTTAGAAAACCATAGTCCATATGTTAGCCGTATTCCGCCTACAGCAATTTACAAAGTTACAGCAGCAGCAGCACGTTTTCAAGGAGCTACATAATTTACACTATCACCCTGAAGATAGAGTTGGTTTCTCTACTGCATTATGTGGCTTCTTTCATATAAAGCCATTTAAGAGAAGGAAATGGGCATTGGTGTTATGTGAAATAGACCGTGCCTTTGGGACATATAATGATGATAATTTGAAGATACAATTTTTCTCCAAAACTTTCTGGAGAAAAAATAATTTCTGAAACATTTTATTTAGGTATTCAACAAGTCATTTTTATCTGGGCAATTTATCTTGCTGTATTTTTTTATTTTTTTTATTTTATGCCTACCAGCGTTTTCACTGTTTCACATGACCCCACTACAAAACATAATAATATTCTTAATATACATATACATAATATATATTTTTAAATATATTTTATTTATTGACACATTTGTGTGCATGTCATAAATTATAAGAATATGTACAGTTATTTTAGATTATTTATGTCCTGTGTATATATAATATTGTTTAAATGAATACAATTTTTTTAAATATATAATGTTTTTAATTTAAAATGCATACATTTGAGGTTAAGTTTTCTTTACAAAAGACAATGTACAACAATTTAAAAGATTTTTAATTTCCAGTCAAGGAAGCTGGAATTTCCATTAATTAAATCCTTTAGGTAATATTCAAACACACTTTTTTGCTGGAAAATAATGGCTTACTCTGCAAATGATTTGTTTATAATATTGACCCAAATCTGTACTCTGAAAGTTAGATTTACTGTAGTTTTGTGTTTTTGTTCCGTTAGGTCTCTTGTTGCAAATCTCGCTGCTGCAAATTGCTACAAAAAAGAGAAACACCTCGATCTGGAGGAGAACTGGAAGCTTGTTGAGAAAGCCCAAGTTTACTACATCGCTGTAAGTAGAAATGCCTCTCCTGACACTTTTGCCTTTCTTGCAGTTTGTCACCATGTGTTGCAAAGTGTTAAAATTCAGTTTTTCAAGTTGTTGGCAGTTTGTTTATTCTTTTTTCAACCAAACTATCAGATTGCTGAGGGTTAAACTTTTTCCTCTTGATGAAGGATAAGAGATTTTGTTTAAATATGTTTTTTTTTTATTATGACAATGTTTCTACCATTAGATCACAAAGTATGTAACTTCTGTTCCAAACCCTACAATGCAGCGATGCATGAAGTCCCGAAGGACCGTAACTGGTACTGCAAGGTGGGAAATGCAGTCTGAAGCACAGTCGGTCTGCTTGCCGCATCGTGCTCTTTGACCTGTGAGAGTCTAGATGTTAGATCGACAGGTCAGGAGGGGGCGGAATGACTCACTCTGAAGGTCACCGGCCAGACCGAAGCTTACATTTACTGCACATGCACCTTAAGCCCTTGAAAAAACAAGTTTGTCTAAGCGCTTGTCCGCTCCGTCAGTCAACTGTGCTGGTTAATTCTGAGTACACTCTGCGAGACGAGATAGATGCAAAAAGCTGCTGCTCGTAATTACCGGTAATCAAGGTTGGTGTGAAACGAGCGACCCCATTACACTCCGACCTTATTGTTAATGAGCCATCGCGAATGTGATTGGGATGGCTCTTCATGTGAGTCTGTACCTGCTGTAAGCTCCATTCATCGAGGGAAAGTCTGGCATCCGCACGGACTCGGACATCATTTGTTGAATACCTGTATTATAGGACTGTGATTAACCTCGATGCAGGAGTCAGTCTTTGAAGCTCAATTTGGCAGCCATTGTAACGTGACACTCTAATCAAATCATTTTCGTCCCTGATAAAACGTTTTTCATCACACTGTCGTTTGGTGAATGGGAAGCTCGAGGCTATACATGAATATTGAGGAGCCGTTGTGTATTGACGGCCTTTGTGTTTTCGAACTTGACTGAATACGCCAGCGTTTATGGGCAAGTGCCCTGATGGCTCTGTCGCTTCATCGGCTTGTTGTCGCGGTTGCTTCTTTTCACGCAAGGTGCCACCAAACATTGAGGTCCGCATCAAGTCATGCCTTTGGATTAATGGCTGTCCTCAACGGCAGAGAAAGAAAGCGAACGAGCAAGCAAATTCCAGTGTTTATTGAAAGTCTTGTCCCCATTTTGTCAGCCTAGGCTTTTCGGTAGTGCTTGTTTGACAGCGATCCTGAGGGAGAGGTGATAGTTTCTGTTGTGATGCCCTGCTCAGTTTGTCCGAGGCTCAAATTTCAGCTGAGATTGGAGTGTTGAGCGTCCCAGCGAGCAGGCTTGTTTTTCCTCCACAGGTCCAAACCGAGTTGAGAGAGCAGCTTCTTCAGGTCTCCGCTCAACAGACATGTTTAATTCATTTGGCCAAGCTGCACAGCCACTCCAGCCCCCCATTTTTCTTGTTCTCGCTTGCGCTCTTTCTGGCCAGAGGCAGCCCGGTGATGGTCGAGGAGTGTGAGAATTGATTATCCAGCCAGAGAAAGTTCATTACTGGAGTAGATCCTCTCCCACCTTAATGGTGGAGCAACCGTTCCTGAATTCTGCCCCTGGTCACAGTTTGGTGAGCAAGTAGACATGGACCCGGTCCCTAAGGGAGCCGACTTGACCGCAGCAGGAACACCGACCGAGTTCTCGGTGGTTGAAGTCTCTACGGACTTCCTCTTTTTTTCTACACGCACTTGTTTCTGAGAAGGGACTCCAGTGCTTGTTTTGGCTGGGTGTCAGATCTTGATAGTTTGAACTGAGAAACTGAAAACAGGCCAGTTGATCAAATAAACTGAGTGCTCTTGTTCGTAGTCCTGCTGGTTATCTGGGAGTCTCTGTATTCGACTGACGCAGGATTATGTAAGCGATTTCCTCTTCCACATAACCACCACAGGCTGTGGCACCAGCCAGTCTGTCCTTGTTATGCATCAAGCCGCATCTCTCTCTCTCTCTCTCTCTCTCTCTCTCTCTCTCTCTCTCTCTCTCTCTCTCTCTCTCTCTCTCTCTCTCTCTCTCTCTCTCTCTCTCTCTCTCTCTCTCTCTCTCTCTCTGTTTTTGAGTATCTCTTCTCCTCTGTTTGCACAAAGAGACTCTTGCCTTATTGTCTATTGAATACAATCTAGACTAATTCATTAGGGCTGGTTAAAAATATAGGTTTTCTGATTAATTGTGATCGTCAATCTAGATATCAAGTCATAAAATCCCAAGATAATTGTTTTATTTGATGTATTGTGTAATATATACATACAGCATAACCAGTGTAATATTCACAACCAGTTCTTTTTAGTGAGTAAAAGTGGTTAATAAATTTGCATCAAGTTTATATTTTAACAAAAGAATATTTTTATATTTTCCATATCTAGCTGTTTGTCGGTATATTTGTCTCTGTCTGTATATCTATTTGTCTGTCTGTCTGTCAACAAATATTAAAACATGCAATTACTGGAAGTAATGATAGCTTGATATTATTTTAGTAACTTGATTTTAATTTGACACTAATTGAATCAAACAAAGAATTGGTGAATCAGGATCAAAACAGGAAATGTATTAATACCCGAAATTGTAATTCATCCACCTTTTGGGTCCTCTGCGTAAAAGTGATGATTAAATTCCAATTCATTTAAAATGCAAATATGCTGGCTGGGTTTGTAGTGAGTTAGGGTGGATTTATAATTTTTGGCTGTGCAAATATGTAATTGCCATGTAACTGGCAACCGTGTGAGCCCATCTGTGAGATCCCAATACAGTGGTGGTCAATCTTCAGCCCATCCCCTTAGAGAGCTCTTACACTTGACTACTTCAGATCTGGTCAGATTTTCTCTTAGCTCCCTTGACATTATAGTAGAGCACATTGTGACGGCACCCCGGTCCACTGGCAGAATTCTTATCGGCTATTTTACGGAATCATGGCCCTAAAATGTACCGTATCATGGTATCAATCAGGGCTGCTCCATTTTCCACCTAAGCACCTCTCGGTAACCAGCTAGATTTACTCATTTAATGGTAAACAAGGACATATTGTGAATCGTGAGTGTAGAGGTCTGCTCGATAGTCCTCCGCGGTGCATTTTGCTGAGATTGTTTTTTAAAGAGGGCTGAGTGGAGACCATCCAGCGCCATTTCCACTTAATGCACTGTGGCATGCTTCTGTGCAGTGATAAGGGAGGCCTCCTTGAGCTGTAATCTCCATTGACCTTGTGTTCAGAGTGGAAGACATCCCTGTGTGAGCATGAAACCAAGCAACTCGCTCACTTTAACCTCAGGGATTGATTTTAATTTACCCTGATGGTGTTCTATTGAAAGCCTAGATATGGCTTTCCTGAAGGAAATACCAGTGCTTGCATGGCATAAGAAAAATAGTGGCTACAGATGGGTAAAATTAAGTCTTAGGCTTTGGTTCTGCATAAATGAAATGCTGAATTATTGGTGCTTTTTTTGTTTTATTGACATTCAGCACATGACTTAGTTCACAGTCATAGAATCAACTCAGTCGCTGTAAAGTGTAAAGGCGATTATAAATAATGATATATGCAAGGATGAAACAACCAATCACATAATGATTCAGTAAACAAATATGTACGTTTTATAGTGTTTATTGTGTGTGTGTGTGCATATATATATATATATATATATATATATATATATATATATATATATATATATATATATATATACATATAATATATATGTTCTGTATGTATGTGTATATGCATACATTTATATAGTTATATTATTATACATTATATAGTATTTAAATATATTTATGTTTAAGTAATTATTTGTATAAAAAATATTAAAACAATATATGTAAATATATATTGTATTTTTCATTATCTTGATTAAAATAGTTTTTATAAGCAAGTTTAAAAAAATCAATTATATCATAAATTTACAGTAATTTAGACAAAGTACAGACTCCACCTCACCTCAACTAACTTACTGTAGTAAGGCTGAAATCATCTATAAAATGATGTTTGGATGCACTTTGTCATGTAGTTCGGGCTAAAATAATTGGAGAAGTAATAGAACAAAGAGTGTTTCGGGAATATCAATACTGTGCCGCCTTGCAAGCTCTGTAAATATTAACAGCAATACTCTTGATTGTTGTTCCCCTCGTTGTTTCTTCTCCCTCCCTCTTTCCTCAGTTTCATTCATCTGTAAATCAGATTAGCGTGAGGGAGTTTGTGCGGTAAAGCACTGATTAATGATGCCTGCTGCCGACTCCCAGTGCGCCCGCTACCGAAGGGTGCAATTGGACTAGATGAGAGTTAGAGGCTCGGGTCGGGCCGGGCAGCGTGCCGCTCTGCCACCGTGGCATGGCAGAGGACAGCATGCAGGCAGAACAGCCATTTTTCACTGGAGAAGAGAAAGAGGGGAGGGAAGATGAAGGAGGGAGGGGTGTTGAACTTGTGCCAAATGTTTGGTGGCAGGCTGTTGCTAGGAAATCAGAATCCTGAGGCAGAGTGTTCTTCAGTGAGCAGTAATGAGAGACCGGAACAGAGCTGCAAAAAACACACTCCAAAAATGGAGAATGATTTCAGATACTGAGCACATTCACAGGGCCAGTTGTGCTGTGAGTTCTGTTCCGATTTCTATTGGAATGTGAAATTATGGTCAAAATGTCGGTTAGAGGGATAGTCCTCCCACCCAAAAAAAAAAAATCTGTCATCAATTACTCTCCTTTATGTTGAAGGGAGATATTTAGAACAGTGTTCGAGTTGCTCTTTTTCACAGCTATTTCTAGTCCCCATACACGTTCATTGTATGGAAAAAGAGCAGCGTGCACATTCGACTAAATATATCCTTTTCTTTTCCACACAAAAAATAAACTCATACAGGTTCGGGACAGCATGAGGATGAGTAAATGTTCACAGGATTTTGGGGTTTACTATCCCTTTAAATCGTCCTTTTCATCATAACCTACATTTTAAGCAATTATTTGGAGCCTTTAAATATTTCCCTTAT